CCAACTGTGTAGGAACCTGAAGACGGAGATAGAGCCCCATCTCCGAAACGTCGTTTTACGTTTTTTACGTTTTATTACTAGACGATGGATAATATCCAAGTAAATTTTTATTCAATTGAATTTTTACTCAGTCCTATAATTTATCATTCATGAAAATCCATTACATTTTCTGTGTAGTATTTATATCGAAGTTTATACGTTTATGCTCCCTACTATCTTGAAACATTTAAAAGTCGTGAATATTGTTTTATGGTAGCATTTAGTAGTCTACAGGAGGAATATTATATTTTGAAATTTCTAATATTATCGACAGGTCATTTGTAATGAAAGTTTAAAAACTAAAATGGACAGGTAATATATGAATCTATGTAAAGAAATTAAAATCCCTGCCAAAATTTGAGTATATTAACGTGGAACTTAAATAAATCAAATGGGAGGTGTGGAGTGGATTCAGATGGCTAAGTATAAGACCCTGGACGGGCTTACATTAACGTGATAATGAACCTTCTGGTTTAATAAAAGCGGGTGAATTTGACTAACTGGATCGTTAGTTTCAGGGGAAGGTCTGAGCAAAAGAGTTGATATTTCAAAAGGATATTTTCCTTAAATTTTGCATGTAAATTTCATATGAACTTTTATATAGACAGATTATTTTTTTTGAGTAAATAAATAATTTTTACAAATAATAAATAATTTTAAATATATGATGAACTCATAGCTTTGGATACAACGACGGTATTGTTTTTCCTTGAACTTAATTTCGTATTTTAACGGAGAATTCTTTGCAATTCTGGATATGTCCTGGATGTACTCGAAACTAATACAAACGGAGCTACTTACACTATGTTCAAGAATGTAGGGTCATGTGTTTAGTTTACAGATAGGCGTCCGCTGTATTTATCAATTTGTAAATGGGATGGAGGAATAAATATAGGGACGGAAATAATTATAATATTTATTATTATACACAATCGATATTTAAGTAAAAATAATTAAAATACTCGTCGAAAAATTCATTTTGAATTTTGAACATTTATAATTCAGTCATTTTAACTATATATATAATATTATATATAATATTATATTATAATAATATATATATTATAATATTATATATAATAAAAAAGTTCAAAAAGCAAAATACAAAGTAATTATAAAAATTATATAAACGAAATAATTAATACGATCAACATTGAATTCCACAACAGTAGTTTCAATACAGGAATTTATCTTATCTCCATAAATATCCGAATATAATATGGAATATAAACTATCAAATGACGTGAATAAGCACCTCTTAATCTCATACACTCATTTGACAGCAGTAGCTACATTGCATGTCAAGCTTTAACGGTCCACTAAATAAAGAACGATTTTTATATTAAACCATTTTCGTCATCTGTTGTCGTTATTGAAGAATGGCACAGAATTATATAACGAAAAATAAAAATACTAATATGTACTTTTATTTTGTTATCGCATATTATATTTAACCTAACATGACGTCTGTTTATATGAAAATTTGTGCGACCACTGGTCCTAGGAATTTATTCAACTTTCGTGCAGTTGGGTTTATGGGAGCAGTGGACTGTAACAA